TGCTTCTCGCAATTGGGCCAGGAAAATGACAGCTGTTCTCTGACTGGTTGGGTAAAGGTGGCCATACACTTTACAACCCTCACATTACTTTTTTGGCAAGTACAGGGAGAATTACAGGGACCCGGAATCCCTCCTAATCAGAAGTACAGTATAATATTTGAAAAAAGCCACCATATTAAATTTTTAGCCAGGCAAAACACTAAAAAAGACTTTTGTTTGTAAAAGAGATTTTTAAGCTTGTAGACCTGCAATCAGGGTCTGATTTCCCATTAGGCACAGTAGGGTCAATCCTGCAGGCAACAACGAGGCTTGGGCATGCACCACCAAGCTCCTCAAATTTAATCAAAATATCTAAGGAGCCAGGAGGAAAATTGGTCAACCAATTAGTGACCGCAACGGATTTGTGCTTGAGTGTGCTTCTCTATAAGAGCCATTAAAACATGCCTATGCCTTTCCAAAGATGCAATGGGAGATTTCTCTGCTCTGTGTGAGTTCTGCAATCACTCAGTGCTGACGCAGTGCAGGTACTGGGCTTCTGTGTTAGCCTTTCTCCAATTCTAAACCAACTTAAAGCTTCTGTGTATGAGAGATGTCTGCACAACATACAAGACAGCAGAATATGTGATGTCAAATCAATACATTTTTCAATAGAATTCAAGGGCTCAGTATAGCTGGTATTATAAAATGCTCAGCATTCTTTTAATTGGTCCTCAGAAGTATCATCTTAAAGGCTGTCTTTGACTTAGAAGTATAATGAGATCATTATTGAGGTTGTTACTAAGGTAACAGGTCATCGCAACAAAAGGAAATATGGATTAGAGGTCCTTATACCTTTGGGCATTAGAGCTGCTGTATTTTTAAGAGCCTTCCAGGTTGGTTCAGATAAGGTATTTAAGCTGGCTAGCTGGCACTTCGGTTCCTGTCTCCGTGACACGAGGTGACAATGGGCTACCCAGAGATGAAGGTATTGACGTCGTCCTACGATGCCACCACACTAAGGAATTTAGGCCGGACTATCCTCCAACACACCTCGGCTCACGGTATCCCTAACATCTTTCGGTCCAGGCACTGGTTTCGGCGCCTGGTTTGGCTATTCTTTGTGACGTTTGCCCTGTCCTGTGCTCTGTGGCAGTGTACTCAGATGGTCATGACCTACTACACCTACCCGTCACACGAGAAGATCATGCTTATCTCAAGCGCCAAACTAAAATTTCCAGCGGTCACCATCTGCAATCTGAACAGTGTTAAACTTTCGGCCATAAGGAAGAGCTTCGCTATGGCCACCTCGCTACAGGTGAAATCTTCTTCTGTCCTCATGTGTTCATTGATAAGAGTGTGTGTAAGATAGAGGAAGTCACAGAAAGAAGGTGCATCTGTGTATATCCCAATGTTTTAAAAATGGCTGTTGGAATGGTTGTTTTAAGCCCCAGTCACCCCGGTCTGCCTGTTTTCTGTAGGACTTTGCCCAATTTGAAGGCTGACTTCTTAGGGAGTTTGAAGAATTAGGATGGTTTCTTGAAAGCTTATGCAAGTGTGTGTGTATGTGTACTTTTGGATATATGTCTCAATGAATAAAGAGTACTGCCACCAACAGGTTCTTTTGTGTCAGCTCTGGGTCATCATTGTCCTTGACTACTAAATGAGTAACTGATCCAAAACAAATTGCATCCAGTGAAATCTGAACCTGAATGCTGCTTCCAGGTCAGTGGCTTATTTCATGGTGAAGACAGGATGAGCATACCTCCCAGTCTTTGGAACCAAAGCCCTCTGTCCCTCTTTCCTCCTCAATTGTCCCTCTTTTTGGTGTGATGTACAGATATTTATGAAGCGGTATTATGCACTAAAACCTTCACCCTCTTTCTTGATCATCTTGCTGGCTATTTTGAAAAGCCAATACAATGTAAAAGTAATGGTGGGGAACAACAATTCTGGGTTTTACCAAAAATGTATGGCATGCATAACTAGGGCGAGGTAGGGTGTGCTCATTGGCTAAATACATTGTGCTAGAAGGTGTCCCTCTTTCTCATGTCAGAACGTTGAGGGGCATGAATCAGGATAACACCATTGGAAGCTTATGCCTTTCAAAACAAGTTGGGAGTGGCAGTTTAATCATTTCTTTACAGGTTCTCTTTAAAAAGACTACTAAACTCCACAACAGAACTGCTACATTGGGTGGAAAAGCTGCTACTAACATTGATAGTTATGTATCTAAATGCTCTCAAAGCTGTACAGAACTTGAAGAATTCCTGTTGGTAAAATGAAAAATTGGAGCTGCTTTTGTGAACTTATTTTTAAAGATGGTAGGGCTGTCATCTTTATCCTTGTTTCACTACTTATTGACACAGTCAGGGAAATGTCAGGACTCCTGACCAGCTTGCTTGTTTTGGGTCCAATAACCGAATAAGAAGTGAAGAGAGGATCAGAATACAGCCCCACTGCAATAGCAGCTCCCATATTTCACATGTTCCTTAAGGTACAGGTAGGCAACATTGGTACTTCAACTGTGGTGAAAGTGCCATGAGGCATGCAAGGCTTGCAGCCGCAGGCCTGATCTGATTCCCAGAAGCATGATGGGAGTTGTAGTATTACCACAGCTGCAATGCCGACGTTACCTACTCCTACTTTAAGGTAACTATATTTCCTGTAATGCTTTCTGTCTGTGTAAGGTAAAAAGGCAAAAGGAGGCACCAAATGACGCTTAGTACTTTTCTAAAGCTGACTAGACACCTGTAGAATTTCGTTTTAAAAAAATCCTTGAATTTAATGAGGTCAAGTCGATGATCGATTTTGTTCTCAGTGATGAAATAAAATTGAAGGAGCGGGATGCACAATGTTTCTTGAGCGAATGAAATTCTAACAGTGAACGTGGTTTTTATCCGGGGAACTCCATTTATCCCAAAATCAACATTTTAAATCAAATGAAATTTCAAACGACATTCGTCAAGTCTACCAGATTTTTCATATCAACGTTTGTAAGAAAATCTACCATTGTATGGCCAGCTTTATCTAGGACTACTGTACTGCATACTGGAAAATGTTCCTCCTTACTAACCTGAATGTAATATCTTTAGTTTTCACTTACTCTTACACATACATGTTGTCAAAATGTATATTATAAGCCATTGGTTAATATTGGCCATTTAATGGAGAAATCTACATATTTTACCTAGGATTATGATATGTACATTTATAAGTGTGAATTAGGTTGTTCCAGAAGCAAGTTTTCAAATGAAATTCAGGGACTACTTAGGGGTTTAAGGTAATTTAACTGATTGAAGGATCATAACATTTGACCTCAAAACTAAAAATTGTAAATTATCACCATGTGTCTATGATATGACACATGGTATTCTGAACCGTCAGATCATCTACTGTCTCCTGAACAGGAAGTGCCTTTACAAGGACCCGCAAAGCAGGATCAACAGGGCTTTATTAAAATAAAGCTGTAGCTTTAACCGTATTAACAAGGACCTTTGAAACTACATTAAAGCAGAACCCCAAAAATAAGAAGATAAAACTAAATAGTCCATTGAAAGATAAAAAAACAAAACCAGCGTTTGCTACAATCTAGGGATTGTCCCCACAGTACTTTTCTGCCACTTGACGTCCCCAGTCTGATTGCCAGCATTATTTAACCAACTTTCTCTGAGCCCAGGTCCTCTAGGACCAGCCCCACCTATGGCTGGGCAGTGAAAGGAGAAGGAGCACAGAGATAAGCTAATCTCTCTGGTATTCTGTTCTCTCTTCCCATCAGCATGCTTTTTGTCAGCACATTATTATTATTAAACAGGATTTATATAGCACCAACAGTTTGCGCAGCGCTTTACAATATAAGGAAGATATTACATAATACAGTTCAAGACAAGATGGTAAGGAGGGCCCTGCCTGTGAGGGCTTACAATCTAAAAGGGAGGGGCAAGTGATACATGAGGAGATAGCTGTGTGGGGATGAATTCTTTGAGAAAGTGATAGTTCAGTGGTTAGGTTGAGGTGGGATAGGCTTCCCTGAAGAAATTAGTCTTTAGGGAACGCCTAAAGGCAGTCAGTGTGGGAGATAGATGGACAGGTTGGGGTAGAGTTCCATAGGATGGGAGAGACTCTAGTGAAAAACTGATCGGCATCTTGTGCTGCTATTTTTTAGGGAAGGGTTAAAACTAGGGCTGGTAATGATTACAATTTTCGTGTTCGATTAATCGAAGTTTTTTAAAATGGATTAATCGATTAATTTTGATTAATTATAACGCACATACAGATCCAACTACATTGGCCTATACACATACAGCACAGCAATGAAGTAATAAAACGAACTAGGATCACACTAATCCAGCACGTTATTCATCTCACGTGCCCCACTCAATATGGCCGCCGCTTGAGTGGGGCAACTCAGAATAATAACATGCTGGATTAGTGTGATCCTAGTTCATTTTATTACTTCATTGCTGTGTTGTATGTGTATAGGCCAATGCCTTGGCTGGCGCTCGTGCAGAAAGTTTTTTTTTAAATTTTTAATCAATCAAAAAAATGTTCATCGATCAAAAAGATTAACGATTAATTGAGAAATTAATCGTTAATTTGCACAGCCCTAGTTAAAACCTTTAAGTTGTTTATTTTACTACTTGTGCTCCTGCTTAGGAGATTTAACTTCTCTATTTGTCCTGATGACTATTGCCACTGGGACAAAAAGTGATGAGAAATCCAATTTTACAGTTGTCACAGACACAGGAGGTGAGGGAAAAGCTTCCAAGAGGTACACCTGTTTTGGTGACAACTGTCTAAGAGTGGGATTTCCCTCACCTTGGCGGCATTTCTTTTTGCTTCTTGTTGAGCTTCTGCTTGTGCTTGGTGGAAGGTTGCACTGATCTGGGGTTAAGTGGGTTGGATTGCCTGAGAATTGTGTATATGGCAAACAAGATAGTCCTTCTGTATATATTGATTGCTACCCACATTTTCTGATCCTGCAGGATTCTGGTCTAGAACAGATCCACCGTAGAAATCGATCGCATGTCAATTCCTCTGCAGAATTCCCAGATGAGACTGTACAATATGCCAGCGCCTTCAATAAGTTTGCTTCTGAGTTTAACCAGTTGCCTGATGAGCAGAAGATTGAGGTGGGGCATCAGTTGGAGGACATGCTGATCTTCTGCAACTTCCATGGTCAAGAATGCAACTCCAGGTAAATAGAAAGGAAATCATAATTCAATTACATTAACCAGGCTTCCTGCTATATTTAAAATTGTTTATTTAAAGTGTATCAAAGGTCCACACTTTGGGAAGAACAGGGAAGGGTTGGAACCACTGGAGATGTATCCTCCCTATTTGTCTTGATGACCATTGTCAATGGGACACAAAGGTTTTCATAAAACTTAATAAAGGAAATTCCTATACTCATCAGTGCCGCCTAGGGGCACTAGTGCCATGCAAACAGCATCCGCCCAACTATAAGCCGGGTGGAACCAGGAGTCTGCCATACTTTTACAGTTACTTCTGGAAAAGAAGATGGGGAGAAATAGGGATGCTCCGATACCACTCTTTTAAGACCGAGTACGAGTACCGATACTTTTTCAAGTACTCACCGATACCAATTACTGATACTTTTTCTTAAAGGGACAGGTCCCATTTTTTCTAAAGCAATAAAAAATCATGATTTTCGGTCAGTTTCTTAATATTATGAAGAGCATGAACATGAAATGAACATGAAATGAATATTTATCATGCCATTGCTAACTAAGGCTTGTATCCCCATAGTGGGGGAAAAAATGAGCACATGTCCAGACTTCAGACCAGAACACTGTATAGTGTGGCACAGCTATAACCAATTCTGCATACCTGGCTTTATATTATAAGAAGTTGAAAATATAAAGCCAGGTATGCAGAATTGGATATAGCTGTGCCACACTATACAATAATACACTGTTCTGGCGTCTGGACATGTGCTCATCTATTTTCCCCACTATGGGGATACAAGCCTTAGTTAGCAATGGCATGATCTAAATATTCAGTTCATTTCATTATTCAATGTCTTTTTTTATATTATAAATTATTTTTTAAATATCTCAGGCCTTTTTTACATATCCCATCCTTGCTTCCAGCAAGCAATGATAATGTTTCATTATTCAGAGGTTAAGTTGTGGTTCAGATGGCAGGCTTAGTGAGAGTTGTGACAGCAGAATGTGCATAGGGCACGCAGGGCTGTGTGAAATTGTGTTGAGAAAATACATCTTCAATAGGTAGGCTTACAAAATTCTAGATGGATATGGTTATTAGGAGCGGGATAGAACTCATGGAAATTCTGAATAGAAATACTGATTTATTTTTAGCTTTTGACCATAGATGCCTATTAAAGATACACCTATTAACCAGGGTCCTCCATACCCTGCCCATCCCAAACATAGACTATGATAAAAGAAAGGGGTTATGCCTGAAGTAATTAGTGTCTATGCAGAAAGCACTACTCCTGGATTCCACTGTGGCCAGTCATGGGATCTTTGTTGAATAAGAGGATCAACCCATCAGAACTGTGATCCTCTTCTTCAGCAGAAATCACTTTATAAAATGCTTAGAAATGTAGTCACATGACTGGTGGCCGTGCGATTGTGGAGCAATGCTTTCTTAAGTGAACGTAAGTATTTCAAAATGCACAGTTGATGACATGTCAATATAAAGGGGAAGTAAAGTCTTTAATGAGTTACATCATCAGGGCCCAGCCAATCAAGTGGCCGAAGAATCAGAACCCAGAAGAAGAGCTGGACAAAGATAGAAGTGCCAATTGTCCCCCATTCCGAACCATCTGTAAAAAGATGGTGTGGCGAATGCCATTTGAAATTTCATTTGATTTTGACATTCGAGTTTGTTAATGAATGGAGTTTCCCGAATGAAAACCACTGTTTTAATTTGGTTTGTTTGAGAAACATTTTCCATCCTGCTTCTTCAATTTCTTACATCACTATGAACAAAGTCAATTGTTAATTTGACCCTATTAAGTATTAGAAAATCAAACAGATGTACCTCACATTTTTTTGTTTTTGTTTAATGAAATTTTAACAATGTACAGTATACCCAACTAAGCAAGCCTACTAAAAGCGGCAAATGGAAATCCTTTGTCAGCAAGCCTGCACAATTCCAAGAAATAATTCTTCAGATAACCACTTTGTCTGCTGGCAGGTCCCTAAACCTAGCAGCACATGCCAGTGGAGGAATGCGACCTCTCCCAAGCCCCACCTTACCACCCAGCACCTTTTAAAGGCTTTTTAGCCACTGTAGATGTCTCTGTGTTTTAATATTCTCCTTTGATAAGCTTGAGATGTCTTTTCTGCGTGCCCGCTTCTGGCGCTAGAAGTTACTAGCATTAGCTGTGCACGCCCCACTTACAGCATAATTATATTGTCTTGATGGCTTTCACCAGAAATAGAGGGATTAAGTACAAAGAAGATTCTCCATGCAACTGTTTTTTTCATTGTGTAACTCTGTTAATAAGGCCGGCATCTTCCTTATACAATTTTCTTCCTCTATTATCACATCTGTTACTTCTTGGCTATATATTCTGCGCACCCAACACAGGCTTTTAAGTGAAGTTTGCCATTTCCTGAGCAAGGCTGGTTTCACACTGTTGGGCTGTGCACGTGCAATGTGTCAATACGTGTAAAATCGCATTTTGCACGTTAGTGTGCTGTTAATTCTTAATGCCACCCCAGCGCACCTTGCTGACAGATGTTCATTGCAGCAAACCTCAACAGGCAATAAGGTACTACCGTGTGCTGCATTAAAAAAAACAGTGCTTGATACTCTGGTTTCTCTTCAGATCGAATAAATCTTTCGCCTTTTACTAAAAAAACAGTGCTTGAACCCATTCTGGTGCATTTAGTGCATTAGGCAGCCCATTCAAATGCTTGACTATGTTTGGGCAGCACAGTGATATAGTGGTTGGCCCTTCTGCCTTGCAGCATTGAGGGTATCCTGGTCAGGTCACTATCTGCAAGAAGTTTGCATGTTCTCTCTGTGTTTGTGTGGGGGTACTCTGGTTTCCACCCACACTTCAAAGACATGTTGGAAAGTGAGTTGGCTCCTGTCTAAATCTGCCCTGTATATATACATGTGAGATAGGGACCTTAGATTGTAAGCTCCTCAAGGGCAGGGACTGGTGTGAAAGTGCACTGTGTAAATTGTATGTGTTATAGAAATACCTGTAATTAATAAATGTGGAGTATCACATGTCCAGACGTACAGGGTTAGAACTCACTCTGGCAGCATGCTCTGCATGAATTATCAGCACTACTGTATATAAATACCTATAATAAATTGGGAAAACTGAAGCCCAGTCAGCTTTTTACTTGCTATCTGTGTCCCATAAAGAGATTTGTCTTCACTTCCTATCCAATAGGCACAACAGGAAGTGAGAGGAAATTCCTCCAAAGTGAGGGAAATCCCAAGTGGTCAGTAAGGCCACTAGAACTAGCATCCCCATCTGAAGGTTTCCAATCTAAGACCCCGTTCACATTGAGCGATTTATTGCGCGGTAATTCCCGCGATATCGCGGCAAATTACCGCGCGATATCGCGCTCCAATGCAATCCAATGGGGCAAAGGGTCCTGCTGTCGCGGGTCGTGTGTCGCTACAGCAGGACCCTTTTTGGAGCGGATTTAGCCGCGATTCAAGCTTGAACGCGACATCGAGCGGCAAATCTCGCGATGTCGCGCAATATGCAAATCGCGCAACGAACGCGCGATTTGCATATCGCGCAGTGGGAACGGGGCCTAATACTCTTCTGGGGGCACCCCAAACTCTGGGATTTTCTTTGCTTTGTGTGATAACAGTCACCATGACCAATAGAGAGGGTACATTTCTATAATGGGGACACAGACAAAAATATAAACCTGTCAGGTGTGTTCTAAACCCTCTCTGCTCTATCCAAAACTGAAAAAATTGGCTTCAGTTGCACTTTAATTCAATGCAGAATAACGCTCAGCGCAAAAGTGTAAAACCCATCCTAATAATCTGCTTCCTCGGTTGTTTCAAACGCACTCCTTCTTTCTCCAAAATATGCAGAGTGAAAAGAGTAAAGGCAACAGCTAAGCCCTTAGAAGTGGGAATGTTTTAAGAACACATTACATTATAAGGCTATTACCAAGTGTATACCTTTGGGGAACAAAATTAAAAGATCAAAAACTAAGCAGGTATGGATAAATAGATCAGTAAAGCAACTCATCAAGGACAAGAGAGTGGCATTTGTAAAATATAAGATGGAAGGGACGTCATTGGCGTTCGCTAATTACAAAGAATGTAACAAAAGATGCAAGAAAATAATTGGGGAAGCTAAAATAGAGTGTGAAAAACATATCGCCACTGTTGGTAAAAAGAATCCAAACTTTTTTTTACCAGTACATAAATAGTAAAAGAGTAAGAAAGATAGGCCCATTAATGGATGATAAAGGGGAGTTAATCACAAATGACAGGGAGAGGGCCGAGACATTGAATACCTTTTTCTCCTCAGTATACACTCAGGAAAAAGACGTGTTTGATGTAGATAAGAACGCACATAGTTCATCTCAAAATATTCCACAGTGGTTGACAAACAATGAGATACAACACAGACTATAACTACTTAATGTAAATAAAGCATTAGGACCAGCTAACCTGCACCCCAAGGTACTTAAAGAACTAAACCAGGTTATAGCGGGACCATTATTCATAATTTTTAAAGATTCCTTAATGACTGGCAGAGTGCCAATTGACAGGCGGAGGGCTACGGTAGTTCCAATGTTCAAAAAGGGTTCAGATGCCAACCGGGAAACTACAGACCGGTTAGTCTAACATCGGTGGTTTGTAAAGTGTTAGAGGGCATGATTAAGGACCACTTAGTAGAATTTGTTCAGGATAATGGCATAGTAAATGACAACCAGCATGGATTTCAGAAAGACCGTTCTTGTCAGACTAACCTGCTAACTTTTTACAAAGAGGTAAGTAGAGATCTGGACGGAGGGAGGCCGGTGGATGTGGTATACTTGGACTTTGCTAAAGCATTTGACACAGTACCTCATAAACGTTTACTATACACGCTGATGTCTATGGGCATAGACGAATTAATGTGTACATGGATAGAGAACTGGCTACAGGAACGGGTACAAAGAGTATCGATAAATGGCACCTTCTCGGATTGGGCTAGGGTCATGAGCGGAGTTCCGCAGGGGTCTGTGCTGGGCCCCATGCTGTTTAACCCTTTCGCTGCCAAGCCCTCCGGAACATTTTTCAAATCAGCTGGCCAAGCCATTTAGAATAGTCACTGAAACTGACGCTATAACATTACAGGGGGATCTGGATAAAATATGGGAGTGGGCAACCAGATGGCAGATGAGGTTTAATGTAGATAAATAGATAAATGTAGAGTTGTGCACTTTGAGGTTAAAAACAACAAAAACGGATTACACACTAATGGGACCTCCCCTCGGAAAGTCCGAAAGGGAAACAGATTTGGGGGTTATTGTAGACCACAGGCTGAAAAATAGCTCGCAGTGTCAGGCGGCGGTAAACAAAGCTAGCAGAGTCCTTTCCTGTATTAAGAGAGGAATGTTTTGCAGGGACAAGTCCGTAATTCTGCCATTTTATAGATCACTGGTTCGGCCTCATCTGGAGTATGCGGTCCAGTTTTTGGCACCAGTGAACAGGGGGGATGTCCTTGAACTGGAGAGGGTCCAGAGGAGGGCAACCAAAATCATAAAGGGGACCTGAGTTATGAGACAAGGCTACTAAAATTAAACATGTTCTCCTTGGAAGTAAGGAGATTAAGGGGGGACATTAGTTTCATGTATAAAATGTTTACCGGGGAAAGTAACATTAGCAGCAAACTTTTTACAATTAACTTGATGAGGAGGACGAGAGGCCACTACTTAAAATTGGTGGAGAAAAAATTTCAGCACAAGGGGCGAAGGGGTTTCTTCTCAGTTAGATCGGTCAAGGTCTGGAACTCGCTATCTTTCACTTGTGGCCCTTTGCCACTATGTTCCCCTAGCCCTATTTTTGTTACTTTCATATGCCATGTTGCTTATTTTGGGTGGTCGGTTCCTGCCTTTTATTTACCATGTGAATTGGTGGCCATTTTGTGTCACAGGTATGTCCTGTTTTTTCCACAATTTTTGCATTTGCTATTTTTTTATGTATTAGCTTCTTTTGTATACTTCCTTGTTAGCCAGGATGCAGCAGTTGTTTTTTTTAAGGGTTATAATGATTTGTTCTTTTTGTGCTCTTTCTCTGACCTCGACCCGGCATTTGTCTTTCTACCTTTGCACTGTGTGATGTCATTACCACGGTTGTTGGTGGGTAAGGTTTGGGGTTTATAATTCTGTTTGGTTCTTTGTTTAAGTGTCTTGAGAAATATGGACTGAGCTCTATTGAAACGTTGACAATATCATGCTGATGCTTGAATTATTTCTGCTGTAAGACCCTTGAGTGCCTTTATACCTACTCTGGATTAATATTAATATGATTAATATGAAATATTTCATACTTACCTTTATTACTATATATGTATATA